TGGTCTGCTGGGGACCGTCCCCAGCAGACCACAGGCACCGGGACTCAAGCGGCAGCAGCGGGCGTTTGCAGAATGCTCTAGCCTACATACAGATTGGAAGGGATCTTCAGCAATTGACAGTCCAACTGTGTCATTAACAAAATCATGATTTTTATGTTTATTTAAATAAGAGTTAATTTTACCCATAGTCGAGGCGCACAGGTTGAGAACCACTGAAAATATTGAATAATTCCAGATCCAGGAGAGACCTCTATGGGACTACACTTGATATTCCTCACAATTCAACAGTGAACCATTAATAACTACTCTGTGGATATGTTTTTTCATCCAATTGTGCACCCACCTTATAATGCTGTCTAGACCATATTTCCCTACTTGGCCTACAAAACTATCAAGGAATTAGTTTAAAAAAAATAAAGTTCTGTTTTTGATACCTGAAACTTTCTGTAAAGGATAGTGATGTATTGAAAACTCTAAATTGAGCCCAAATTTAACAAAGATTTGCATTTGTGCTTTGTGAGCCAAGCACTGCTAGTCAGACTTTTCATTAATGGTTCCCTTGCACCTAAACATGCTAATTAATAGCTGTCAAACAGCAAATATTTCTATTGCAAGTAGTATTATTACTTAATGAGAAATGAACAAAAACCCTACAAAATAATTGTTTTATTCAAAGACACTTTATTAATTTAAGTGCAGTCAATTTAGATTTCCTTTCCTAGGGTGCTGCTTCATTATGACTTTACCATGCACATCAGAGTTTATTCTGTTTTGCCACCATACATACATATGGAATATCAAAGTCAAGTTGACAACTTGTTAATCTGCTTTTTTATATGATTCTGAAATTTGCTCTGCGTTGTTTACTATACCTATAAGTTAAAGCATTTCATAAGCCAGGACTGGAATTTTCCAGCTTCATTTATTTTCATAGAGTGTGCAGAGAAGTGTGCTGAAATTGTTACATTCCAAGAGTGAGGCGGTCCGACAGTACATAGCGAGGCTTATCAATGCTTTTGCTTCGTTGGCAGAAGGTAAGAGCTCCACTATAAAGGGCTGGCCCCATGTACCTTGGCACATGATAGATACTTCATTGTCATTGTGTGTGGAAATTTAAATACATCCTGTTTCTGAGCATTAGCTGTCCTTTGTTATGTTTGTCCAAGGTGTAGATTGTCAGTGTCTGTACAGTTGCCACTTGGACAGTTTATTTCAGCTTTTATTAGTTCAGTTCCAACCTTGTACAGTTTGTGGTCTTTGTAGGCTGTTAATATTTCCTGATTTGCACACTGTGCATTCTGTTTGTTATGCCTTGTGTCCCTTCATGGGGCAGCAAAGTGTGCTCTTCAACCACAGCAGTTGTGCATCTTGCAGAACCAAACTTGTAACTGTTCCCATCCCGCATCAATAATGTTCTGAAAATGCACATTTAAAACAACTACCTGAAAAACTGTCCAGTGATCAACGTCAACTGCAGAGTCTCCCAGCCCCTGCACTGTGTGCTAGTACTGAGACAGCAGACCTTGGTAACTGGTACTGTCCCACTCTCCTTCTCTAGCACGGTGAACATCTGTGCATCCCTGCTGCCCGGTCAGTTGCATGCTAAACTGGGATGGAGCTAGCTTCTAATCTTAGTCTCTTGGACTGGTATTGTCAAAGGGACTTGTAAGACCAGTATTTCTTAAACTGTATTCTGTGGCACACTGGTGTGCTGCAAGGCAGTCGGAGGTGTGCCACGGAGAACAGAATTCAAAATGGCTCCCCTTAAAGGCCCCCGACTCTTTTCCATCCCGACCTTTTTTTTTTCCCTCAACAAAAAAAATACTTCGTGTTCCTCATAAAAAAAATTATTGTTTGGTGTTTCTCAGTCTTAAAACGTTTAAGAAACACTGCGTTAGACGTAGGTACCCAGCTGCTGTTAAAAGTCAATAGGAGCTGGACACTTAACATTCTTAGGCTCCGTTGGGAATCCCAGACTTGGGTGTTAGCCCACCGTAAGCAATATGGTAGAAAGCACATGGTTGCATATGGTAGCTGGGTCTGGATAGTACAGCCAAAGCACTAGCTTGGTAAACTGGCACAGTTGCTCCAAATGGGTGGAAACAGTTTTAAAAGTGATGTGTTTTGTGCACATTGTAAGTTTCTAGTGAGGGTTTCTACTGCCTTGTTAGAGAAGGTGGGCTCATGCCATCTTTCTTTGCAAAAGGGGAGGGAGGCTCTCTGTCACTGGCTGGGATCTCAGTTTCTATTCTTTCATCACTGTTTGCATCAGGTCGCCTCTACCTTTCCCAGAACCCAAAGTTGCTGCAACTGCTGGAGGAAAGGCTGAAAGCTGAAGACAAGGATTCCCTTACTCGGGAGAATGTTCTGGGGGCTTTGCAGAAATTCAGCCTCAGGTGATGATAGCCCAGCAGGCAGTGGTGACAGCAGGAAGGGAAATGCAAACTAGTTAGGCTCTGTTCAGGGAGGAAAGAAGAGCACTTGATTTTTGTCTAACAATCATCAGAACCCACTGTGGCTGATGAAAGAAGTGCCATTGATAACTGGAGAAGGACTCCACTCTGCTGGCAGAATTAGTCTGATTTCTTAGCAATTGTCAGACTCAGGTGAATTTATTCACATTAGTGTCTGTGTATGACAATATGGATTTTTAATTGCATAACCTCATTGAAACACTGTCAGATTCCTTGTCTTGAAAGTCTTAAAAAGCTATTCGAGGACCAAAAAACCTGTGAATTCCTATAGTCATCTTCCACTCAGTTGTCTGCAAAGGATGGGGTTATGGTTTGCCCTCTCTGCATGGAATTAGCTGGTTTTCTTCCTCGACCCACTTATCCTTTCAGTCTGGAGCCATTCATTCTGAGGCTCTCTCTCTCCTGGCTTTTGTGATAATACTTCTGCCTTAGAAAATGTGCTGGAAGGGCCCCCACAGTAGATTTCTCATGGGACTGAAGGGAGGCAGAGGATGTCTGACCCTCTTGAGTCATTTATACTTGTTCTACGTCCCTTCCTCTCGCAGAAGAGCAGCAAGGAATCAGTCTTATAGCATTACAAAAGATGTTCAGTCTCTCTTTTAAACTGAGGTTAAAAGTTTGCCTTTGAAGAGGGTGGGTTTTAAATTTCTCTAATTTAAAACCTGACTGGGAAAAAAAAAACATTTAAATACACCATAAAGTAGAGGTCCTACATTGGACCCCTGACATAGAGTAGATGAGATTGAATTTATTTACTTTCATTCTGATTTTCATGGTATCGGACAAATGTCTACTTTTTGTACCATGCTGCTTGGAATTCCTGCCAGAAAAAAAGTCAGATGCCATTCCTAGGGTATGTCTAGACTGCATCCCTCTGTCAGCACAGGGATGCAGATTAGGCAGGTCGACATTGCAAATGAGGCAGGGATTTAACTATCCCGTGCCTAATTTGCATATAAATGGCCACCATGTTTTGCTGACTCAGCAAAGTGGCAGTCTAGAGAGGGATCTGTTGAGAAAGAAAGCCTTTTTCAACAGATCCTGTAATTCTCCTTGCAGGAGGCATAAGGGATCTGTTGAAAAAGGCTTTTTTTTCTTGACAGATCCCCCTCTAGAGTGCCACTTTTTGCTGACGAAGTGCTGGGTTGCCAAACCGCGGTGGCCATTTTTATGCCCCCTTGAGAAAAGGAGCATTCTGTTATAAAGAATACAGGGGAATTTATTAACTATTATTTTGACATTGAGCACATTATGGTGCAATAGGCTGCAAAGAATTTAAAATGATGTATTTTTAATACTAATATTTAATCTTGTGGAAAGGCTGCTACATATACCCCATATGAAGACTTTTTCTTTATATCAAATGTTCCCCAGGTATTGCCCAAGTCTGGGGTGGGGATCCTGTTTTGGTTCGGGAGCCAAAAAAACCCAGAAAAATCAGTTGAGGGCTGCACACAACTGAGAATCAAATATCCAAAAACCAAATCCTCACTGACTGAGAAGGACTGAGAAGGAGAAAGATACTCCCCACATTCTCCTTGCACACCAGAGCCTAGTAGGGCCTAGGCTAGTAGATTTGCTGTGCTCCAGCTCTGCAGAGAGGAGCCTGGAGTCTGGACCGCCAGCGCAGGCTCCCCAATGCTAGGGGGAGCTCTGAGCCTCGGGGGCTGGATCCAGGCAAACTGGGGGGCTGCATGTGGCCTCCGGGCCTTAGTTTCTCCATCCCTGGTCTAGTCCATGCCACAAATGGCAATCCACGAGTGCAGTAAGCTCGGTGAGGGAGGAACTATCTGGATCAATTGCCCAGCCTTTTAATAATAAGAGAAATACGTATTTTTGTTCATTAAAAGCTACTTCTGGACAACTTGAAAATTAAGCTTAAAGTGCCATGGACTTTAGATAAAATGAAGGTAATGAACTCTTCAGCACAAAGTTTCCACCAACAAAACAACATCTTGTTTCAGGCTTAGACACCAGGTAGAAGGAGTTCTGCAGCACAGTTTTGAGTTTCTGGTGGATTTCTTGCTTTGCTAGAGAATGAACTACCTACCACATTGCGGTGGGTCACTAAACCCTTGTGGTTAGCAGAAACTCCAAGAATTCAGTGTGGTGTTGTATAGGAGATAACTCTTCGTAAATAAAAGTCGAAGAGGGGTGGCTGCGTCTGTAACTGAAAAAACTTAAAAAAACAATGATTGGTCCTGCAGCACCTTAGAGACTAACAAAAAATGTTGATGGTATCATGAGCTTTTGTGGGCACAACCCACTTCTTCAGATGAGTGGAGCCTCCGGACCCCTTATTTCACTCATCTGAGGAAGTGGGTTGTGCCCACAAAAGCTCATGATACCATCAACATTTTTTGTTAGTCTCTAAGGTGCTGCAGGACCATTCATTGTTTTTTAAGTTTTCTCTTTGTGAATAGATAGTTAAATGAACCAGGAATCTTTTCAGGGAAAAGAACAAATTGGATTAAACAAAGATAATATTTGCTAAATCAGGAGGGAACCATGGGGGCAGCTTTTCTTGTAGCTTCTCCCACTGACATAGCCACCTCTGCTTATTGGGGTGGATTGATTAAGTCCTCGGCTTACAGTGCCTGCACTAAAGAGCTAGAAGCAGTGCAACTGTTTTGGTGCATCTGTGCTGCTGCACGCTCCCTAGTGTTGTCACAGCCTAAGTAGTAGTTATGTTTTACTGCGTTCTTCTTTGAAGTAAATATATCCAGAGTAAAATATATTTATTTGTGTTTTTTCCTAGACGTGCCTTGCAATCGGCTATGATCAATGACGGGCTCATTTTCTGGCTAGTTGATGTCCTAAAGGATACGGATTGCTTGTCAGATTACACGCTGGAATATTCTGTAGCCTTGCTCATGAATCTTTGTCTCAGGAGTTCAGGTCTCTTGTGTTATATGTGTGATTTTTCAGCTGGGAAATGGATGGGGGAAACCCTGAGCTTGAACTTTTCATACCGATATTACTGAGGTCTTTCAAGTGATTTTGCTTGTCTGTGTTCATCAATATTTATCTGTGTTAAACGGCACCCACCACCATAGAATGAGAGCTCCATAAATGGTACTTTTGATAAGGTATCTTTTCCCAACCTGCTCTGAAACAAAATCCACACCTTGTGAGAAGTCAGAACTTGCCTCCTCACTGGAGTTAGCCTTCGTTACCAAAGAAATTAAATTAGTGTTCGCTCCATCCTCCCTGGCTTGTCTGTCCCTAGGATTTTTCCTTTTAGAAGTGCTCTGCCTAAACCCTGAGTCCTCTCTGTAGTAAGCAGCCACCCATCTCACTGTCAGCATAACTCCTTGAACCCCTTCCCAGCATGTTCATCGCCTAATGGGGTGGAGTGTTTCTAGCAAAACCACTGCCTGCCTGCTACCGTGCTAGTATGAGTTACCTGATTTCTGACTGCAAACAATATGCCTGTTTATAAAAGCCAGTTAGAATTGAATTATTCTCTTAATTCAATAATGCCATAAAGCCCACTCCTCACCTTGCAGGATTGGATCCACAGTGATTAACAGGCCTCTTACCACTTAGAGATCCCTAGGATAAAATAATGACCCAAGGAATTTGCAGTCTTTAAAGGGAAAAAGTTAAACCCAGACAAGTACACAATAGCCCTCAGTTGGCATCATCAAAGTAACATCTTTCTTAAATTGTTGTAGGATCAGTGTCTCAGACCTTGAAAGTAACTGTTTAGAACATGGCAAGTCCCAGAGGGTTAGCTGTGTTACTCTGTATCAGCAAAAACAGCAAGGGACTCTGTGGCACCTTAAAGACTTAACAGATTTTTGCATCAGACAAAGTGGGTTTTGCCCATGATAGCTAATGCTCAAATCTGTTAAGTCGTTAGGGTGCCACAAGACTTCTCATTGATTCTGCACATGGTTACGTGTGTCTAAAATCAGAGTAACTCCATTGACCTCAGTAGGGTTATTCTGAGAGCAGAATTTAGCGGGCATGGACAACAGTGCATTGCATGTTGCATTGTATTAATTTTTAGGAAAGAAAGACGAGTTTGGATTCTTTTAATGCCTTTTCTGTATTTGAAAAAACATTGTGCCTGTGCAGGGAAGAAAATGTGTGCGAAAGTTGCAAACCGCGTGCTCAAAGTTCTCTCTGATCTCCTGGGCCATGAGAACCATGAGGTACTTGTACAGCTAATATTCCTTTCTTTGGCAAGGGAAGGGTAAAGCTGCTGATTTTTTTTTTAAAGTTGTGTTTTGCTTGATCCTTGGCTACTACACCCTCGTAGTAAATCACATAGAATTTCAGTAAAGTTCACAGGTCTGTAAACTCATCTGGGCTCAGTGAACATTGTGGGGGGCGGGGATGGGGGGTATATTCCTAGAGATTTTGATGTCTCTCTCCAACAGTATGACTGGTCATTTGCAAATGAATGTTTGGTAGCGGTGTGGTAATCTCATTCTAGCCTGCAGGTTCCTGGGATTATTTTGAAGTAATCTTTAAATCCAAATCTTCCCAAGCCTTAATACAACAGGAGATACAAAGCTATTTGCAATGCAGACTATATGCAAAGCATCAGATGCTAGCATGTCAAGAATAGTATAAAAATAGCTGGATGGCCTCTCCCCTGGCCCACATAAACACATCTGACCTGGGGCAGAATACTAACAGCTAGTACCTTTCATCTCAAAGGATCCCATAATACACTTACCCTTGTTATGCAGCGTTACTTCATCCACTGCTGGTGCATTCGGATCGCTGGTTAACTGCACACAGCACGACAGCACAGCACTTCAGGGTAGGGATGCAATAGTATGGTTGATTAACCAGTAAACACAAGCTTATAGGTTAATGCTCTAGACTACACGCATTTCCCTCCGCCCTCTCCCTTGCCAGTAAATTATTATAATTTTTGTCATTTTGGCCTCTGCTAAATAGACTCCTCATGGGTTTTTAAAGTAGATGCGTAGAACAGTGGGACCCAATCCTCTCCATCATGGGAGGCAATTCTGGTTCATAATAGGGAGTTTGCTGCTTATACTTGCACTATCTGGACCTTCTAACAAAATCAGGTAATAGGGCAGAAGAAGAGACCGCTGAGACCCTCTGGGTTAGTTCTTATCTCAAGAAATGTGATACAGGCAGTCCCCGGGTTACGTACAAGATAGGGACTATAGGTTTGTTCTTAAGTTGAATTTGTATGTAAGTCAGAACTGGCTCCAGAATCAGCCGCTGCTGCTGAAACTGACCAGGGGCTGACTACAGGAAGCTGGAGGCAGAATTGCTCTGCCCCCAGTTTACTGGAATCAGCCACTGATCAGTTTCAACAGCAGCTGAATCTCGAGCCTGGGACAGAACAGCTGGGCTGCCAGGTAGGTCCCTGCAGGACCAACCCGGCAGCACCCCAGCTGCTCTACCCCAGGGTCCACAACAAAAGCCTGGTCTGCTGGGGGG